AAATTCAGTGTTGGAGACACAAGACAGTACAGTGGCTGGAAGAAATTTTTATACACTACCTAAAATTGATATGAGTAACCAAAATAAAAGAATAAATTGAAATATTTATTAACATAAAGAAAAATATTTTAAATTTCAAATGCATTGAAATTATTCAGTAATAAGTACTGTGGATATTGCTTTTGCTGTCTTTTGGTAAAGTTTGTAAACATTTTTGTTGCCACAGTTTATGCAAATGTGTGTGTGTAAATAATTTTTAAGGAATTAATAGATTTTATTTTTACTCCAACATATTTTAGTACTGTTTTATTTTAATGGATACACATATCTAAGTAGATTCCACAGTGTTAAAAAAATAAATGTAATTCACAATGTTTAAAAACAATGAGCATCTATGAAAACATATGTATGTGTGTGTGTGTGTGTGTGTGTGTGTGTGTGTGTGTTTGTTTTGTTTATATATATATATATATATATATATATATATATATATATATAGGGCCAGGTCATCACATAGGTTATATATATATATATATATAGGGCCAGGTCATCACATAGGTTATATATATATATATATATATAGGGCCAGGTCATCACATAGGTTATCATAGGATAATTTGAATTACGCTTCACACTTATCCTCAGAGATCCCAATGCATTTTTCTTTACAGATAGCTTTGACTTTCTTTGATTCTAAACTGAGGAACCTGAAGGGAGCAAGTTGTCTCAGTGAAATGCATTGTTTACTTTTCCAATTTGTCACTTTATATATAAATTTACACACACAAACATATAAATGCACATACACATTCACACACACACATAATTAAATTTATATGTATATAGTTATATATACATACATGCATATATAATTATATTTATATGTATATATACACTCATGAATATAATTGTATTTATATATGTGTTTTTAAGTTAGAATACAGAAATCCCCAAAAAGTTTTTAAATTTGACAAATGGAAACATTTCACAAAAAAAAAAGATTTTAATTAAAATAGATTTGATAATGCATTTCATCATTGAAGGCTTCATTAGATCCAAAAATGCAAAATAAAATATGTCTATATGTATTTATTTAAGCATACACGCAAATACACATAGACACATTTCATTCTTTCGTTTTTGGATCTGAGGAAGCCTTGAATGATGAAATGCATTATCAAATCTATTTTAGATAAAATCTATTTTCATAAAACATATCCATTTGTCAAATATTTTATATATATATATATATATATATATGCTAATTATATTTATGTGTATGTAATTATTTACTTTATTTACATTGCTTGGACTGTTGTTCTCATTTTATTGCCATATTCACAACGTTTCGGTTGTTGTACGCCACAGCCTTCTTCAGTTAATATTTGTTGGAATTTCAAATAAAAACCCTTTATTTAGACCACAGAGAAGGATTAGTTCTAATTTCATACCTTTGGATATCTATGTTTTAGTTAATTCCTCTTGATAACTCAACTCTCTAAGTTTTTATTCTCCCTGTTGTGGCCAAAGATTGAACTCACAACTCTTTTGGAAGTCACATTTGGATCAAATAACCAATGCTTTTATCCAGTGGGCAATGTGTCCTTGGGGACATTAGTGACTGAATAAATCTAATGTTTCAGTAATAATTTTTTTTTTACCAGAGTTCATATTACAAATTTTTTTGTTATTTTTCTCTAGCTTTCTGTATTACTGGTTCCCATATTTTATTCATTTCTATGCTTGACCAGATTAGGAGATTTTCGTAGCTTAGCATATTCACTGATTCCTTAATAATTTGTATTTTCTCATGATGTTTACTGTCTATTATTTCAACTTCATCCTACAGAGGATGGTGATCTCCCTTTTACTCTTATGTCTCTGGGTCACTACTTAGGCTTTCACACAATGATGCTGTAGGCAACAAATGATCCCTTTCTTTACACTAAATGGGTGGTTGGAGTCAAAGTACATGATTAGGAACAAGTGGTCATCATAAGCAATACCCTACAATATAACAACTACCTTGGATACATGATAGCAGCCCCCACATACTATGATAGATGATAACAACACTCATAAAACAACTTCAGTCTGTCTACCTGATGTGAAGGGCTTATCAGAAAAGATATAAAAGATCTGTAGTTCATATAACATCAGGACAACCCTCAGGAGTGATTCAACAATATGCAAACAGTAAGACCACCCATAGAAGAGAACATGATTAAGAAATGTGTGTATGCCATCTCATGCAGCTGTGGCAAGAATATAAAAGAGAAACAGGCCATCTCCTTAAGATAAGACTGCAGGAATACCATAAAGCTGTAACACAAGGAGAAATAGAAAATAAATGGTGATGTCTTTATAGGTGTATTATTGTAGTCATTTATTCTATTTGATGAAATACACACTAAAATCAACATTGATGATAAATTAGTTTATCAGCTAGTCATATAAGTCAATTCATAGAATTTTCATTTATCAAAAAGGAACCCCACAATGTCAGGTCACACTCAGCCAAGCTTAGTAAATGTTTATATATGGTTTATATTATATAGCAATAAAGATTATGTTCTTCAACATTAACTAATCTCCAGCAATCAAGACTGTTTTTGATTACACTTTATAAATATATACAAGGGGAGATCAACAGGTCTATAATTTGACATTAACTGAATTTTTATATGAAATTTTCACTTTATATTCTTATCATCATTCAGTTAAGTGTAATGACAAGGAAGGAGATTATATTGAAAAATATTTTTTTTATATGAATCATTATTAAAAAAATAAATATTTGTTACATATCATTAATCAAAATACTTATTGATTACCTTTTATGCTATGATAAATTTTGTGTCAGAATCTAAAGTTAAAATGAGAGATGACAAAAACAAGTGCAATATTTTGACATTTGCATTGACTTATAAAAAAAGTAACTTATATAAAAAGTAACTGTATAAAAAAAGTAACTTATATAAAATGTTCATACTCTAAAACAGTGCTTTTCATAAATAATCAATCTACATACCAAAGCAGCAAAGTCAACAATCACATTGAGATCAGCTATCAAATAAAAGTTTTTTTGCAGCATTTTAATCATTGGCACATAATAGAAAAACAATACTAAAATTATTTTGGCACTAATACCTAAGTGTTATCTTGCTATGAAAGATGAATTCAGTATAATATTCAGAAATGACAAAAAAAGTTTGTGACCAAAGAGAGTGTTAGTTGAAAAAAGGTTGGGAAACAGTGATTTAGAATGACTAAACACTCTGCATGTATGTTCAATGAATCCAATTTATCAATTTTACCTACTCTTAATCTTCTACTGTTTCTAAAATCATCTTAACAATAAAATGATATGATAGGTAAACTTATAATCATATTATACACAAAAATAAAATATACAATGTCAGTTTGAAAAATATTCAATCATTTATTATTAATAAATAAAATAACCCAAAAGGCACAATAATTTTAATATCTGGGAAGTGTTTTAAAAGAGGACATAAAGTTCAACAGTGAAATCCGAAGATGCATTGGGGTAGTGAAAGATGCCTTCCAAAAGTTTAGCAAAGCATTGATAAACAGAAAAATTTCATTAGAAACAAAGAAAAAAGTACTGAACTGTTATCAGTCCTCCTATAGGGCAGTGAATGCTGTTATACAAAAGGATGCAGTTAATACCATGGACCAAACATGAACAATAACAAAGTTTCAGAGAAAATGAAAATAAATAGAACACTTATACTTAAAATCAGGAAAAGATAGTTGAAATTCCTAGGGTACATAATGAAAATCTGATACTTGTAAAATCTGATACTCACAAAACAGTTTGAAGGCAAGAGGGCCAGTGGGAAACAACACATAACCTACCAAGCTTGAGTAAATGGATGGTAGAACAGGGTTTAGGAGAGATAACAAAAAGACACAATATATGAAAAGCTACAAATGACAAGAAATTGTGGAGAGCCATGATCGTCAATGTCCAGAATGGACATGGCACATAGAAGAAAAAGACAACAAAGAATATGAAGAAGAAGGCAAATATAAAGAAGAATACAAAGAAGGCAGCAGAAGAAGTACCACTTTAGTCCTCTTCAAAGTACTCATTTTTGGGACCAAGTGTCATCTTCATTTTTTTTTTTAAATCTGAAAAATTCTCTTTCACCATCAGCTACCTACTTATATTTTCCTTAGTTTCATGATGCTTTGACAGTAATTTTTAAATTTGAGAAAACCAGAAGTTACAGAGAACCAACACATATACTAGCCCATGAGGATCTCAGTAGTCCTAGAATAGAAACGAATACCTTGTGGAAGCCATTAATTTATAAAGAGAAATGACAGCAAGGTTTCAGCAGCAGCAAGAAAGGAGAAGTGGCAGCAGTAACAGGCAAACATTAAGAACATTATATTCAAGGCTCCAAGTTCTAAGTACAGAATTATGCTACAGGACAAAACTGATTGGATTAAAGCATTCGTTAATGAATTTCATGATATATTAAATATGAGTTGATATGATATATTAAAGTGTCTGGGCTGGGGACTTAGACTCTGTGGAAATGGAACAAACAATACCTAGACATGGACAGAGAAACAAGGACAATCTCCACATGTAGATTAAAAGATTAAGTTTGAAATTCCCTGAAGACAGACACCTGAAGCAAGTCACGAAACATTGTGATTATGGCTACAAAGATAAGGACAGCTGTTCAAATTTAAATAAAAATAGAGAAGTTATATTATCCATTAAACAAAGATTTATTATGCACAAAAATTATTTCATCAAGATGTCATCAATAAATTTTTAAAATTCCACTTACTCTACTATTGCTGTTGATTCTGGTGATCAATGAATCCAAAATGACAATCTCATCATATTTTTCAGTAAGAATAAACCGCAAGAAGGCTTTAATCAGTGTAGGTTCCGTTATTTTTCGAAGAAAAAGTTCCAAGTAAGCAGTAGCAGTGATCACTTCTTCTCTTGAATTCTAAAAGAAAAGAAAAGAATACATGTGTTCAAGAAAAGAAAAATTATTTGTGACTATTATTTTAATCAAAAGGCATGAATCAGGAAAGTAATATTAAACACACACATACATATCTATATATATATATATTGCAAGGATGAGAGAATACTTAAGGTCATCTTGTATAGCCAGCTTGACAGTGGACAAAGAAAGGACTGTTGGATAGCCATGGCTCAGGTATAAAGATAAGCTAAAGAGTAACCTCTCAGGTGTCAATTTACCTCATACTAACTTTGAGCGAATTGCCCTGGATAGAAAGAACTGGAGATATTTATGCCAGAGTCGTATCCAAAATTTCAAAATCAGTAATATTGACCGCCTAAGATAGGAAAGATAATGGCAAAAAGCATCAGCAAATATTCCTACTGCTATGTCCTGAGATCCTCACTGTTGCAAGTCAATAGCAGGATTGAAGAATAAAAAATGAGTGAAGTTGTCCGATCATTGTATGCTGAAATTTACATGAGAGTTTATCATCATTTTACACACACACACATATATTTATTAAAGACATTTTTTTTTTTTTATGTTTAACGTTCTTTTTTATAGATACAAGTATTTCAGTAAATGCTCTGTTTATAATAAACAGTATTAAATAACATTTACCGGCCTTAATACTGTTTATTATAAACAGAGCATTTACTTAAATACTTGTATCTATAAAAAAGAACATTAAACATAAAAAAAATGTCTTTAATAAATAAATTGTCGGACTTTGTCCATTTCTTAATATATGGATAAAAATGAAAAAAACTTTCTTAGTTGACACATTTTGTCCTCTTATGGACTTTATCTAGGCAAATGTAAGGATTTTATTTTAAAATAAAATCCTAACATTTGCCTTGATAAAATCTATCAAAGGACAAAATGTGTCAGCTAAGTTTTCCTTTTGTTTTTACTCATATTGTCTTTTTACGCTAGATATATTATAGTTATATCTGAAATTTTACATCCCCACACACATATATAACTAATATGAATAGACATACTCAGATACATAGACAGAACTGCAGATAAACTCTCAATTAGAAATTGGTTGGCAGCTTGAAGATCATGAATTAAAATAATATTTCAAAATTATACTCAAACTGGCCATATTTCTTAAAAATCTATACATTTATACATATATAATTTAAAAATATCAAACTGATATTTATTTAAAGAATTTAATCTTATTTTTGAGAATATGGTATACAGCAATGTATTATATCTCTATAGTTCACTATCAACAATATTCAGTGATAAATACTTATTCTATTTTGGGGGATTCCTTTTTTCAGTTCAATATATTTTTCCATATATCTAAATTATAAATATAAACTGGAATTTGGAAAAACGGAAATTTCACTGAAATATTTTCCAAATTTTCATCTGAAATCAAGAAAATACAAACATTAACAAAATGGTCACAAGATATGGAAAGAATAAAGATGTCAGTTTTACGTGACACCAGGAAGATATGAATTAAATTTATATTTAAAAGTATTCTTAGTGTTTATTTATCAGAAATAAAACAAAGGACTGAAAATATCACTAGCAAATGACCTCTTGACTACTTCATCTATCACACATGGCTGGTTTCTCCAGCAGTTACATCTCTTGTTCTATGGTTTCCCTTCTCTTCAGCTAGCTCAGAGTCTTTTGACCAGGCTCCCAGACCTGTGGTGCAAACCTTGATTTTGGCTAGCATCAAAAGTCTCATCGTGTTAATTTTTTTTGATTGGTCAAACTATTTTATATTCCAGCATTCCTTTCTTTTTCATTCTTTTTATGTAACTGAAATTATGTGTTGAGCCTGTCTTATTTTGGTAGATTTGGTAGTCATAAATAAGTAGACTTATCTCACAAACATCCAGTTGCTTTCTTGTTAGTTGAAAGAGAAGGATAGAAAGAGAGAGAAAAAGATGAGAGTTTTAAAGGAAAATACAAATGTGTTAATTTAATTTAATTTCTTTCCGATTTTATTTTCATATTTTATTTATTGGAATTCACTACATATACATAAGAGTAAGTAAAAAACATTCTTCTTTGAAATTTGTGGATTGATACTACAGAATCATTAACAAAACATAAAACAAATCACTTGAGGACTTTTAACAGCAGCAACAATTAAAAAGAATCACACATGTAACTTGAAGAAAAAGTAATGACATAATCAAAATGTTGATATTCCACCCTACTTCAAATAAAAGGTTAGAAAGTAAATCCCCCATCTATACTGGAAAGATAAATAACAGCTACTGTACTGAAAAACCTATTTTCCTAAAAAAATGTTCCAAGAGAAAGATTTTATAAATTCCAAATGACGGTGGTACTGACTACTTGGTCACCCAATGCCAAACATTTCCTTATAAGGAAATGTCTAATATTAATACTGCCGTTACCAAAATGTTCAAACTTATTTTTCCTGACTCAGAGTTTTGCAGAAATAATCAACTTGTCAAGGTGTTAAATAGTAAAGTTTAATTTTTTTTAAGGTTGTGTTTAATGACTCTCAGTCAACAAAAGTATTTCCATAAGATTACACTTTTAAGGCAAGCAGTCTTTGTATGTGTATGACCCAATATCAAGAGATAGAGCATTAAAAGTAACAGATAAAATTAAATACTCAATATTGGGAAGAGACTAAGGAATGAGTTTGTCTATATTTCTGAGATGAGGTATTATGTACAGTATTTACATTAGTCGGACTATTGTCCTCATCTTTGTCGCCATATTTGTCTAACGTTTATATACCGTTATATATCCGGCCTTCTTCAGGTGGTTGGAATTTCAACTGAACCCTTTATTTCGATCACTGGGGTAGACTGTTCTAATTCCACGTGCCATGTTTTGATGGATGTCAGTTATCAGTTATCTCCTGCTAATTTTCCCTCTGAAAGTTCTCCACTGCCTTAACCAGGAATTGAACTCACCTTCTTTGGGTCTGTCACTGGATCTAACCAACGCCTTTATCCACTGTGCCATGTGTCCTCATGGCACAGTGGATAAAGGCCTTTCCTAGACTAAGGAATGTTTAATTTTATTTGTTCCTATATAACTATTGCTTAAAATTTGCTATATGAATTGGGGAGAGTGCTCAATATCTTTGTAGGTGAACATCTACATGATTAGATATTCTGGTGATCACTTAAGTTGTGAAACTGCCAGTCATCATGCAGTGTTAATTTGTGTGTGTGTGTGTGTGTGTGTGTGTGTGTGTGTGTAAAAGTTTAGAAAATATATCTGCAAAGACAATAAAAGACAAGAGGAAAACTTTTTTTGCTAACATGTTTGATTCCTTGAGGAATATTATCAAAGCAAGTTGACAACCTGTATTTATACACAGAAGTTACATGAAGAATAAATACAGTTATGCTTCTAGATTTTGAAGTAGAGAACACTCTAAAAACTTACTGTGTAAAGGAAAGGTAAACTATGAAGGGCACTAAGTGACATAGCCTTAAATGGAAGTGAGTTAATGCTGTAGTGTAATTGAATTTTTTTTATGTAATTATGATTATTACTTATTTTTATTTTATTTTGTTTATTTATTTAATAATTTTTTAAAGGTCATGAGTTTATTTTCTTTTAATTTTAAAATTTATTGTTCATGTAAATATATCTTGAGAAAGAAGATTTTCTTTTAAGAAAGGAAAAATTTGGAAAAAATGAGGGCGTATGTTAATATTTTGGCAAGAAATAATAATTGCACTTTCAAAATAATTTTTTAAAAGCGCAGGACGTAAACGATCATACAGTGTAAATTATAAAATTCACAGATTGCTCTTCTTTATTTTTTTAAAGTTTATCATGACTTCTTCACGGTTTTGAATTCCGTATTCCTTCTCTTACACTGGATATCACACTGTAAGTTAATTCACCTCTTTTCCTACCCATTTATGGGTGATAAACGAAATGAATTCATGCTTCTAAAAGTGAAAAGTCATGGTAAGTGAAAAAGTGAACACAGAGGAATACACCGGAATTTGAACTCAGCCCGCCGATTCTATCTGCCACATCGATGATTTAGTACACTGACTACACACACATTTTACTATGACATTTAATTATTGCAATTAAAAGAAAACGTGTGAAGTATGTATACTGAAACTTTGAAAAAAGATATTTTACTAATTGTATATATATTCTAATGCTTTCTTAATTTTTTTAAAAGTAATATTCACATTTTTAAATAAAGACTTTATGTAAAGAAAGAAAAATGGTAAATATTTATTTTATTACTTCAGGAGTTACTTCCCTTGGTATTACACGCACCACATCCGTTTTTAATATGATCACAAATTCGAAGTTTGCGTGTGCGCGACAATTTTTTTTATGTTTATTTAAATTTAATTTGCTTTTCAATAAAAGCAAATCATATTTACAGACATTTCATTTTTATAATCATATATTCTGTATTATAAAGAAAAAATGTTTTACTTTAGAAAATAATTTCTTACTTTCTTTTTTATGTTTGTTTTGTTGAGAGTTGCATAGTTTCCTTTCTTTTTTTTTGCATGTGTACATTCTGTTGAAATGTTCACTAATTTTAGCTTAATAATGGGAATTCAATGCAGATAAAAGTTACTAGTAATAACTTACAAAATTAGATTGTTAGTCATTTATTTACACTATAGTCATTTTTATATCCTGTTTCGGATAGAGAGAGAGAAATATGTTAAATTTTTATCTACATTTTTTTTTTTTTTTTTTAGATCAAATTTTATTTTTATAGTACAGGCAGTACTTTTAGAGATCATAAAAACAAAATATTTTTTTGAAGTTATGTTGAATTCTCATAACAAAATTTATTTCTTTTTGGAAATTTTAGATAAAAAAAATAACAATTTGATTAAGCTAATTAATTATTCATGAAAGAGATATAATGATATATGTCACCAACACTTGCTATGCAACCTGAATATTTACTGTTAATTTTCAGATTTAATAATTATTTTCTTCTACATTAAGATTTTTCA